TCAAATAACATGGTAGTAATTTTATTTTTAGATATATTATCTTTTCCATATAAATATAATTTTAGAATCTTAACCTTCTTATATAATTTTTTTTTAATCTACGGTAAAAATGGTCCAAAAGGAGCTAAAGCTATGAGAAGGTCTTAAAACTAGCTAAAATAGTTAGAAGGTCTCAATTGGATCTTAGGTAGTCATTCAGTTGAAACAGTCACATCATCGTCTTCTATTTTAAAAAAAAGGTTAGAGTAAGTGTTTCTAACTATGATCGCTTGAAAGTGGGATTCATCCTAGCATTCTATGTCTTGTCTTGAGTTAGTTTTTTCATCGAACTTGTAAATCTTGCATCTACGAAGCTAAAAGTATAAGTTTCATCAATTGTAATCTACTTACAAGGAGAAATCATCGAAGGAAGACACAATACTCACTAAAAAATTTATGTTGATGTGAAGTGAAGGGATTTGGAGTTCGAGGTGGGAGACAAAGTATTTCTTAAGGTAGCCTCCATGAAGGGCGTTCTTAGGTTCGGGAGCAAAGGTAAGTTAAGTCCACGCTTCATTGGACCATTTGAGATCTTGGAACGAGTGGGACAAGTAGCTTACCAATTGGCCCTACCACTTGTGATTTCACGAGTCCACAATCTGTTCCATGTATCGATGTTGTAACTATACATAGTAGATCCATCGCATGTGATAGATTTCAAACCCCTACGATTGGATAAAATTTTGAACTATGAAGAAGAAGCAATGCAAATTGTGGCTAGAGAAGTGAAGACCTTACATAGTCGAGAGATCGTGTTTGTCAAGGTATTATGACAGAATCACAAACTTGAAGAAGTCACTTGAGAACGAGAAGAGGAATTGATGACCAAGTACCTTAGCTCTTCTGAGCACAAGGTCTGCGCATTTAAGTGAAACTTTCGACGACGAAAGTTCTGGGCTTAAGGTCCAATACATTCAAATAAACCCTAAGGTTTAGCTACATATAGCCAAACACACAGCTAGCCAGCCATCTCACAGAGCACGAATTCTGGGATGAGCCAGCCACTCACAAACCCTAGCCGCCACCTTTTCCTTCCTCTTTATCATCTTCTTCTTCTCTAAACCACTGCCGTCCATCGCTCACACCGTCTCGCGATGCCATCGCCAGTTACTGTCGCACATCAGACAATCGCCATTAGTCACCCACACTACCATTGCAAGTTGAACACCGTCGCAATGCCGGAACCACCATTTGGAGGAGCAACCAGTGAGTTTTCATGTGACTTATTTGTTTTGAGTCCAATCTCGATTTTGAATGGACCATACCTTGAATGTTCACCTCTAAATATCTGTATCATAACCAAGGTACAACATGTCAACTAACGACAAGGTTTCTTTTTTGGATAACATGTCAACCAACAAAATTACAACAAGGTTTCTTTTTTGGATAGTTGGGATTGGACCCAACGTGTAGGAAGAAGGTAAGCAATAAGACCCTATGATTTTTTGGAGTCATTGTATCACGTCAAGTTGGGTCGATTAAATTTGGGTGTTTAAATGTAGGCTTGATCTAAGTCGGAGTTGGACAAATATTTATAGGGATGATTAGAAAAGAAGCTCTCTAGGCGAGGACCTTCTTATTGAAACTTATTTTTAAAAGGTTGAATATGTTTGCTATTGTATGGTTGTGTGTTGTATGATATGATGTATGTTGACATGAAAATAAATATATTGGGACCTATGCATGCATATTATGTTCAATGATTGAAATATGTTTGATGTGAGTTGTGTGACATGATGTATCTTTGCTTAAGAAAATAAATGTTGACCTAATGCATGCATATTATGTTTGCTGGTTAAGGGTTACACACTGTGTGTATCGGGTAACCAGCCACTAATGATCACTCTGCTGGGTGATGGCAGGAAATAGTTATCAAGGTAAGTATTACACCAAGGTAAGGATTACACGTTGTGTGAATCAGGTAACCAACCATTGGTAATCATTTTAAGGAGTAAGGAGGGATGTTGATTTTCATGTGGTAATGGTTACGTGCTGTGTGAATCAGGTAACATGCCACTAATGGCCGTTACTCTGTGGAGTGATTGCAGAAAATGGTTATGAAGATAAAGAGTTACACGTTGTGTGAATCGGGTAACCATTCATTGATAATCATTTTGAGGAGTAAAGGTGGATGTTGATTTTCATGTGGTAAAAACTACACGCTGTGTATTTTGGGCAATTAACCACTAAGGTCCCTCGATTTTTTTTTTTGATGATTTATGTATTTGATCCAAAGAGGAGTTCCTTACGGAGTATTTTAATACTCACCTCGTTTTTAATATGATTTTCAGGTGAGGCTGTGTCACAAAAGTGACGAGCAAGGTGAAGAAGTCTGTCATGGGGCAACTTGAGAATTTTATGTTTTCATTGATAGACGTTTTCGCATTTAGTTGTTCTTTGACTCAAATTGTGTTAGAGGCCACCTAGCTTATGGGAACTAGGGAGTTGAACTGAGTGAACTTTTGGTTTTAAGTTAGTATATTCTTGAATAATTAAACTTTGTTTAAAGGGTATGATTGTCGGGTAGATTTGAATTTATCTAGATTTCCATAATTTATTATTTATGGTTAGCTTAAAAGCCTATAAATCTTGGAATTATGTAATAATAGAGTGAGAAACAATAATAAAACACTGCAGGTATGATCTATTTTATCTATTCCTATCTCTTTCATTATTCCTTTCCCCAACAACTTTGTTATCAGAGCAAGTTCCTGTTAACACGAGGGTGAGTGATTATTTTTTTTCACAAAATAGAAACGGTAGTAGCTAGTTTTTCTTTCTTTGCATTGCTGTTACCAATTTTTAATGGTGATAAATATGAGTGGTGGAGTATCAAGATGAAGACCTTGCTCAGATCGCAGGAGCTATGGGACTTGGTGGAGCATGGGTTCGTTGATGTAATTAGAACCCACAATAGATGAAAAAAAGAGACTAAGAGAAACCAAGAAAAATGATACCAACGCTCTGTTCATTATACAGCAAGCAATTCATGAGATTATTTTTTCACGAATTGCAGCAGCAACCACATCAAATCAAGCATGGTCAATTCTACAGAAGGAGGTACAGGGAGATTCAAAGGTCATAACAGATAAATTGCAATGTCTAAGACGTGATTTTGAAACTCTGCTCATGACGAATGGCGAATCAATTGCTGACTTTTTGTCAAGAGCAATGACAATAGTCAGTCAGATGCGTACCTATGGAGAGAAAATTTCAGATGAAACAATTGTTGCAAAGGTGTTGAGAAGCTTAATTCCAAAATTTGACCATATGGTGGCTGCCATAGAAGAAGCTAAGGATCTATCAATACTCTTTGTTGATGAACTGATAGGCTTGCTTCAAGCTCATGAATCAAGAATCAATAGATCATCAGAAAGGAATGAAGAGAAGACACTACAAGTGAAGGAGACAGCCAACAACGAAGGCAACGAAAAAGAAAATATTCATTTAACAGGTAGAAGTAGTGGAAGAGAAGGATCTCATAGCTTCCATGGTGGCCATAATAACAAGGGTAGATGGAGAAATGATGGACAAAGACAATTCAATGAACAAAGAATGTCATACAATGTTACTATTGTAGGAGGTATGGGCACACAAAAGCTGATTGTTGGTATAAAGATCAACAAATGAATTTTGCAACAGAAAATGAAGAAGAAGAAGAAAAGCTTTCTATGGCGTGTACTGGTATTAATCCAATGGGCACACAAAAGCTGATTGTTGGTATAAAGATCAACAAATGAATTTTGCAACAGAAAATGAAGAAGAAGAAGAAAAGCTTTCTATGGCGTGTACTGGTATTAATCCAAAGAAAGTTGACTTATGGTTTGTTGATAGCGGATGCTCGAACTATATGACAGGTACCAAATCCTTATTCCAAGAGCTTGATAAGATGCAAAGAATTAAGGTGCAACTTGGAAATACCAAAGAGATCCAAGTTGAGGAAAAAGGCACAGTGAAAGTCGAAACTAGTCCGGGTAAGATAAAACCATTAGATAATGATACAAGAGAGATTATTGAGACAAGGGTCAACTCCAGCGCATCTCCTAGTGCCTCCACTACAACACAAAATCTGTCAAATTTATCATCTTGAGCATCATTAAATAGCAACTCTTCTCTTGAAGAATTTTCAGATGAAACACCTCCAAAGAAGTATAAATCTTTAGCTGATATGCATCATGTCAATTTGCTCTTACTGTTTCAGACCTTATGAGTAATCAGGAAGGGAAACAAGAACAACAACTACTAATTCATCAACTAATATATTTCCGAAAAGTCGAAAACTCAGTGATAAGGGTTTTGTGAAATCTTCTATGATGTTAATGGGAAAAAGGATTGGAGTTGGTTGAATGTATTTACTGAAATAACTTAATCCTTTTTTGCTAAGACCCGCATAGAAATATGCTACTGATGTGAGTAAAGCTAAAGCAACAGGATACAGTCCATTGAGAAAAATGGAACATGGGATATGGTTGTTACATGGGACAGAAGAGGTCTATGTAACACAACCAGAGGGATTCATAAAGAAAGACAAAGAAACAAAGGTATACAAGTTGAGACAGACATTATACAGGTTAAATCAGACATACTAAAATTCTGTCAAAAGAAAAGTTTTGCTAATTGAGACGATTACTTGACATCTACAAGTTTGAATCTAAGAGGCAGTGTTGATATATGATTAAAAATATTAAGAATGGAGATATGATTTAAAGTAGTTGAAATATGATTCAAAGTATTCAAATTATCCAAATTTTAGGACATGTTAGTAGATTTGAATTTATATACATTTCCACATTTCTATATTAGTGTATAAGCCTATAAATATTGTAATTGTATAATGTTTAAGTAATAGAGTGAGAAAACAACAATAGAGTACCGCAGTTTTTCTATTTTATCTATTCCTATCCCTTTCACTATGCCTTCTCCCAACATTTTTTCATTTACTTCAAAACTGTAAAATCACTTTTTTTTTGTAATCGGTTTGACGCTACCGGTACAAAAGGTCGAGTTGTTACACATTGATTCGATTCGAAAGCAGTTTCCACATAGATTAAGAAAACAACATTCTCTAACCCAATTTCTTTATTTTGTTGACATAATGAACATTGGGTTAATACTTAAGAAGGGTTTCAATTCTTGTTTGAAATGGAGTTTGTGAGTGCATATCCACCGTCATAACCTCCTTCTTCTCCACTTCCTTTGCTATTATCATGTTCTCCTCCGTGAGCTCCTCCACTGCCGTAAGCTCCGCCGGCCCCAATTCCAGAGCCACCAGCATGGCCTCCGTAACCACCGCCGGCGCCAATGCCAGAACCACCAGCATGGCTTCCTACTCCGTCTCCCCTTCCATACCCACCATCGACTCCTCCACCATTTCCATATCCATGGGAATCTCCATACCCATTTCCATTTCCATTTCCATTTCCATTTCCATTTCTACTTCCATAGCCGATATCATGATCTCTTCCTTGCCCATACCCACCATTGCCTCCATTTTCATAACCTCCACTTCGCCCACCAGCGTAACCAACACCATGATCTTCTCCACCTCCATATCTACTCCCACTTCCATATCCTGCTCCTCCTACGCCGGAGCTAACCCCTCCTCCGTATGCATTTCCTCCACCGTTACCATATCCCGAACCCCTTACTCCACCACTTCCATAGCCTGAACCTCCGAGAGCAGAGCTTCTGTCTCCATATCCTCCACCCGATCTTCCACCATATGCATTATCATAGGATTCGTCACGATGCCCCGAATCGTACCCTTCTCTAGGGTTAGGGCGATCGTAACCATAGTGACGTGTTCGGGGATCATAATCAAGAAGGGTTCGGGCAGCGGAAGCTAAACCCAGCCCTACAAGGAGAAGAAAGCTAAGGCACAAGACTCTAGTGATAGCCATGGAGAGAATTTGAGGTGCCTAGAATGAATCCATTGGTCATCTTATATAGGAAATGGTGGAGGGTTCATCATCTTCTCATGGGTGTGCTTAATGGTATTTTGGGCGCCACATGGAGAAAAAAAAGAAGATAATTTGGATATACACGTCCACAAATGTCCATGAAGCAAGCACTATAATGTGCCTTTTCTCATATTTGGCTCACAAGTTGCATTTGAACTAAATTATATGAATATTTAAGTAACGCTTTGATCTCATCTTCCATTAACACGATCTTGCAAGATTTGATAAGATTAAGAAAAAGAGCAAAGAAACATGATAATTTATTTGGTTTTAGGAAGATATTTGTATGATTAAATTCACAATGGCTATAAAAATCCACTACATAAAGAGCATATATTTAATTAGGGTTCTTTTTCCCTTTTTTTACTTGAGCCGCCATGAGATTTGAGACATGAAATGGGTTATGAAACGACATTGCATTAAGATAATATCTTTTACATATCATTAATGCATGTTTCCCTAATTCCCACTTGAACAAATACATTAAATAATCTCTCATTTGGAGTACAATAATGGTGGAATAAATCATCACATTTTAAGGATATTAAATCTCATCATGTTTGCATTAAAAAGAAAATAATAAAAAAAATCTCATAGAGCATAAGATATTGAGAGTGATTTACTTTGTCCATTATAGATTAAATTTTAGAATCTGAACGCTCTCAAGTAATCTTTTTCTTCTATGGTAAAAATGATCTAAAACAAATTAGAATAGTGGAAAGATGAGATACGGGATAAGTTGAATCATGGGTGTCTAGTTCAAATGAACCAACCATGTCATCATCGTCTACCATACAAAATGGTTAGAGTTGCACGTTTCGACCTACGAGAGATTAAAAGTGAGATTCGTCCAAACATTCTATGTCTTGTCTTGAGGTTTCTTCATAAAACTTGTAGACATTGATATTTACAAAGCTAAGGGTATAAGTTTCATATGTTGTAATTTGACTTTAGGTATTTTAAGCTTAGATTCTACCGCTATATGAACTTCTAGGAGGCCTCGAAATCTTGAGTCATTCTCTTGCGTGTCACAAACTCAATCAAAGTCAGATAGTTGTTCGCATTTTCTAGCGTCGCAGATTTACTAGACTAGCTCATTGGGATTAATTTGATTCTCAGAGCACTAGGCATTTTCTAGCGTCGCAGATTTACTAGACTAGCTCATTGGGATTAATTTGATTCTCAGAGCACTAGGGTCTAGTCCTCTAGTCATTGCTAATGATCTTGGGGTGCTCGGTCTACTAGAGGTGTCTTGACCTAGGTTAATCGTCAAACTGCGTCGCTAATGATCTTGGGGTGCTCGGTCTACTAGAGGTGTCTTGACCTAGGTTAATCGTCAAACTGCGTCTTATTCTTAACTCAATACATTCATGCATGCTCAAATAAGGAGATAACTCAATTAAGCATTGGATTACAAATCTCATTCTCAAAGTGTACATGCATGCTTAATAGGAAGATAACTCAATCCATCACTTGGAGTACATATCTCATTCTCAAAACATACATGTTAGCTCAATAGTGAGATAATTCAATCAATCACATTGAATACAGATTTCAATCTTAGTATAGAGTAACTAATACAACAAAAGCATCTCACACAATATACAAATTAGAAATCTCATTTTAAAGACATTTCAAATATTTGTGTGTATCATATATAGCATACTTAAAATCTTAGCTCAATTTTATACCCTAGACATGCATTTTTTTTCTATGTATGGTAGATCATATTTGCATGCTATCACATTCTAGCGATTCATATAAGTATTGCTCAAGAAAATTCAAATGGCTACTTACTTAGTCGTGCATGCCTTACTCACTCTTGTTTCCCGCTTGCTCAGTGCTCCACAATTTCAGAATTTCACTAGCGGACCCTAATTCAAGTTATAATAAGTTTATTATTCAAAATGAATTGAAAACAGTCAAATAAAGGTCGAATCAAATGGGCAAAACTAAACAGTCAAATAAAGGTCGAATCAAATGGGCAAAACTAACCCTTCAGAGGCATCACATGCGATTGGAAACACTCTTACATGAAGGTTTCATGCAGGAGCGGGTCCAAATGCACAGTCCTTGATATTCTTTTTTTTGAATCCTAGCATACGTATCCCAAACGAATTTATAGATATCTTATAAAAACAAGACGCATGTCCCACTCATTGTGTGCTCATCTACACTTCGAGACTAGTCGGAGGCAACACACTAGGTTTTTCCCTCATTTTTCTATCTGCGACATGTGGCCTCCCCGAAACATGCATACGTTCGCATATTAGCCTCAACCGTAAGGAAAAGGTCATCTTGGGTAACTCCTCCATATCTAAGGGAGAAGCTGTTGTTTTCTTTCAATCTTTTGGTTGTCTAAATTTAATCCTTTGTTACGATAAAAGAAAATCTCATCCTTAGTTAATATATCATATAGTTTCTTTTCACCAATACATACTAGAGCTCAAAGTTTAAATGAGAATGAGACTTCTCATATCAATTTTAAAGACTTCTAAATTAAAGTCTTTGAATCATAACTTCCCTAGTCAAGAAATATTATTGTGTTTGGAGTCTTATTATTCTACTTCCCCGTCAAATCTAAGTGTATTTGAAGTTTCTTATAAAATGATCTTTGATTTAAAACAAACATTTTACCTACTCAAACATCTTCAACTGGTTGGATATGACCCATGACCGAAATATCTTGAAACAAATAAAAAAACTAAAAAGAACAACTTGAGGGAGAGATCTTTTGAAACAAAGAAACCTTAACCACTTAGCTTTTCAATTCTGTTTGTTGTAGTAAAGAGCATACATTTGACCACGAGTATTTATGGTGCAACTAGTTTCCTAAACTTTCTCTCAAGTTAAAACCACTAGCAATACTTCTAAATAAATGACAACTATTTTGTAAATTTATTCAACTTAATAACTATTTTTACCAAGTCAAGATTAATGACTCACATTCTTCTGCTTAAGCTTGACTTTACTTGAGATTCTTGACTTCAATAACTCCTACTTGCAAAACTTAACCTTTGGTAGGGTCTTGGTGAGAATATTTGCATGTTGGTATGTAGTGTCAAGGTTGATTGGTCACTCATCTATTCTTCATGAGAAGTTTTAATTCCACACCATACAATTCTGCTTCTCTCTTATGTGTAGTGGGAATTCTTCATCTTATAGAGTACTCCTTTGTCTTTCAACCAAGGACAAGTTTGATGTCTCTTTTTTTTACGCTTTGGTGGCCTTTTTCTAGGCCTACGTGGTTAGGTTGTTCTTCGCTGATTGTAGTAGCCTCTGGTTTCTTCTTGGCTATGTTCTTCGGTTTCTTTTTCTCTTGACCCATTGGTTTCTTCTTGACCCATTGGTTTCTTCTTCACTTTCTTGTTGTCAACGCCAATGAATAATTTTGGAAGATGTTGATGGTCTTTCAATAGTATCTTATACAGACAGTTTCGCAACCGTCTCACTTTCATCAACAGAGCTTCGTTTCTGTTGTATATCTTGAGGAACGAGTCGACTATCTCCACTCTAATAATATCTTGAGGAATGTTTATGTTGTCAATTGACCAAGGCTAATAATATAGCTCTTTAACTTGGGATGTAATACACCTTAGTTAATAGACATTGATCGTCATTCTTACACTGGAACAAGATAAACCCTTTGTCTTGGATCGGTACAGATCATTCGCAAAACTTCACGTTTTCAGTGAACTTCTCATCAAGCTCCTTGAACTTTGCTCGATCTCCAGTCATGTGGTTCCTCGCTCCATTGTCTAGGTACTACATGCTGGACTCCACTTGATCATCTCCATCTATGAAGGGGTTCACGTAATCTTCTCTTCATTGAGCACCAACAGGTTGAGTATATTCTCGGCCAACATCAATGTGGGTTCTTCATCATCCGTGAACATGAGGTTTGCCTCCTCATCACGCCATTGTTGTGGCACTCTACCACATAATGCCCGTATTTTCCACAAGAGTAACACTTGATCATACTCTTGTCCTTCTGAGGCTTGGCATTGTCATGAATTTGTGAGGTATTGTCACGACCTCCTCTACCACCACGTCTACGGTTATGTCCGCAACCATGTCCATGACCTATGTTTTTCTTGTTATGGCTCCACCGTCTCCTCGTACGTGAAAAAGAAGAGTCATTGCATCTTTCATTTTCGTCTGTGCGAGCCACTTCTCATGTGTGAGTAAGAGGTATTTCTCCTCCTCTTTGTCTCCGTAGCCACGAAGTCTCTCTTCATGGACCTTAAGACGGTCAACGACCTTCTCAACCGACATGCTCTTGAGGTCTCCAAACTGCTCGATGGAGGCAACAATCTGCATGAATCTTGGGGAAACTGCTTGAAGGAACTTCTTGACGACGGAGATCTCCTCCACCACGTCGCGTAATGAATAGATGCCGCTGACGATTGTCCTCAATTTCATGGAAAATCCGTCTATTGACTCACTGTCCTTCATGCGGGTAGCCTCGAACTCACTCTTCAAGGTCTCCACCTTTGCTTCCTTGACATGTTTCACACCCAAATGCATTGTTTGCAGTGCCTCCTATGCTGCCTTTGCCGAGTCCTTCTCTGCTAATGAGAAGTACGTCCTGCGAGACTGCTTGGTAGATGGTGGCAAGAGTCATCCTATTGTTACGCTCCTCAACGTCACCATGCTCGATGATATCCCACACGCCTTGTGTCTGTAAGTTAACACGCATCTTTATCGACCATGTTACGTAGTTACTCTTCGTGTATAATAGGTTTTGGAGCATTACACTCCCCTCCCTTCCACTCCTTATAGTTTTCACTTCTCCTTCGGTGACTTTGTAAGGTGACGAAATTTGTTTCGACATCTTGGTTCTGATACTAAATTTTGGATATGACCCACAATCGAAATATGTCTAAACAAATAAAAAAGCAACGAGAACAACTTAAGGGGAGAGATCTTTTGAAACAAAGAAACTTTAAACACTTAGCTTTTCAATCCTCTCTGTTGTTGTTGTCAAGAGCATACGTCTCACGAGTATTTACATTGGAGAAATCACAACTAGTTTCTTAAACTTTTTCTTGAAGTTAAAATCACTAACCACTCCTAAATAAACCACAAAATTTTCTTAAACTTTTTCAAGTTAACAACTATTTTTAATAGAAAATAAGTATGGTTGAATCAATTTGCTTCATACCAATGTAATCCAAATTTTGTTTTATCATTCAACAGTTGATTCGAATTTAACATTCATTGAAAGTGGTTTGGACATCGATATAGAAAACAACATTCTCTAACCCAATTTCTTTATTTTGTTAACATAATGAATATTGGGTTCATTACTTAAGAAGGGTTTCAATTCTTGTTTGAAATGGAGTTTGTGAGTGCATATCCACCGTCATAACCTCCTTCTTCTCCACTTCCTTTGCTATTATCATGTTCTCCTCCGTGAGCTCCTCCACTGCCGTAAGCTCCGCCGGCCCCAATTCCAGAACCACCAGCATGGCCTCCGTAACCACCGCCGGCGCCAATGCCAGAACCACCAGCATGGCCTCCTACTCCGTCTCCCCTTCCATACCCACCGTCGACTCCTCCACCATTTCCATATCCATGGGAATCTCCATACCCATTTCCATTTCCATTTCCATTTCCATTTCTACTTCCATAGCCGATATCATGATCTCTTCCTTGCCCATACCCACCATTGCCTCCATTTTCATAACCTCCACTTCGCCCACCAGCGTAACCAACACCATGATCTTCTCCACCTCCATATCTACTCCCACTTCCATATCCTGCTCCTCCTACGCCGGAGCTAACCCCTCCTCCGTATGCATTTCCTCCACCGTTACCATATCCCGAACCCCTTACTCCACCACTTCCATAGCCTGAACCTCCGAGAGCAGAGCTTCCGTCTCCATATCCTCCACCCGATCTTCCACCATATGCATTATCATAGGATTCGTCACGATGCCCCGAATCGTACCCTTCTCTAGGGTTAGGGCGATCGTAACCATAGTGACGTGTTCGGGGATCATAATCAAGAAGGGTTCGGGCAGCGGAAGCTAAACCCAGCCCTACAAGGAGAAGAAAGCTAAGGCACAAGACTCTAGTGATAGCCATGGAGAGAATTTGAGGATGCCTAGAATGAATCCATTGGTCATCTTATATAGGAAATGGTGGAGGGTTCATCATCTTCTCATGGGTGTGCTTACTGGTAAAGAGGGCGCCACATGGGGAAATAAAAAACAATTTGGATATGTATCTCCACAAATGTCGATGAAGCAAGCACTATAGTGTGCCTTTTCTCCTATTTGGCTCACACATTAGATTTGAAGTAAATCATATGAATATTCACATAAGGCTTTGATGTCATCTTTCATTTGAAAGATCTTGCAAGATTTAGTAAGATTTAGAGAAAGAGCAAAGATAAACTTAAAAGTAATATCTATGGTTCACTACTTACTTTAGTTTTATCATTTCTTCTTGCTTCGCATTAGTTAAGGTTGATAATTTATTTAGTTTTAGGAAGATATTTGTATGATTAAATTCACAATGGCTATAAAAATCCACTACATAAAGAACATTTATTTAATTAGGCTCTTTTTCTTTTTTGCTACTTGAGCCGCCATGAGATTTAAGACATGAAATGGGTTATGAAACGATATTCCATTACTATAATATCTTTTACATATCATTTATGCATGTTTCCCTAATTCCCACTTGAACAAACTACATTAAATAATCTCTCATTGGGAGTACTATAATGGTGGAATAAATCATCACATTTTAAGGATATTAAATCTCATTTGCATTAAAAAAAAAAATAATAAAAAAATATCATAGTATTTAAGATATTAAGAGTGATGTACTTTGTCATTATAGATAAAATTTTAGAATCTTAATGCTCCCAAGTAATCATTTTCTTCCATGGTAAAAATGATCTAAAAAAAACTACAATAGTGGAAAGATTTGATACAGGATAAATTGAATCATGGGTGTCTAGTTCAACTGAACCAACCATGACATCATCTTCTACCATAGAAAAGGGTTAGAGTTGCACGTTTCGACCTACGAGAAACTAAAAGTGAGAGTCGTCCAAACATTCTACGTCTTATCTTGAGATTTCTTCGTCAAACTTGTAGACATGATATTTACAAAGCTAAGGTATGAGTTTCATGTATTGTAATTAGGCTTAAGGTATTTTAGGCTTAGGTTCTACACCTATATAAATTTTTAGGAGGCCTTGAAATCTTGAGTCATTCTCTTGCTTGTCACAAACTCAATCGAAGTTAGATAGTTGTTCACATTTTCTAGCGTTGCAGATTTACTAGATTAGCTGATTGGGGTTAATCTGGTTCTCAGAGCACTAGGGTCTAGACCTCTGATCATTGCTAATGATCTTGGGGTGCTCGGTCTACTAGAGGTATCTTGACCTAGGTTAATCGTCAAACTGTCATAACTATAGCATCTTATTCTTAACTCAATACATTCATGCATGCTCAAATAAGGAGATAACTCAATTAAGCATATAACTCAATTAAGCATTAGAGTACAAATCACATTCTCAAAGTGTACATACATGCTTAACAGGAAGATAACTAAATCCATCACTTGGAGTACATATCTCATTCTCAAAACATACCTGTTAACTCAATAAGGAGATAATTCAATCAATCACCTTGAGTACAAATTTCAATCTCATTATAGAGTAACTAATCGAACGAAAACATCTCACACAATATACAAATTAAAAATCTCATTCTTAAGACATTTCAAATATTTGTGGGTATCATTTATAGCCTACTTAAAATTTTAACTCAATTCTATACCCTAAACATGCATTTTTAGTGCTATCACATTCCAGCGATTCATATAAGTACTGCTCAAGAAAATTCAAATGGCTACTTACTTAGTCGTGCATGCCTTACTCACTCTCGTTTCCTGCTTGCCCGGTGCTCCACAATTTCACAATTTCACTAGCGGACCCTAATTCAAGTTATAATAAGTTTATTATTCAAAATGATCCGAAAACAGTCAAATGAAGGTCGAATCAAATGGGCAAAATTAACCCTTCAGGGGCATCACATGCGATTGAAAAAACTCTTACACGAAGGTTTCATGCTCACCTGCTAGGAGCGGGTCCAAATGCATAGTCCTTGATATTCTTTTTTTCGAATCCTAGCATACGTATCTCAAACGAATTTATAGATATCTTATAAGAACAAGACACATGTCCCATTCACTGTGCGCTCGTCCACACTCTGAGACTAGTCGGAGGCAACACACAAGGTTTTCCCCTCGTTTTTCTATGTGCGACATGTGGCCTCCCCCAAACATGCCTACGTTCGCCTATTAGCCCCAATCATAATTAAAAGGTCATCTTGGGTAACTCCTCCATGTCCAAGGGAGAAGCTCATTGTTGCTTTCTTTCAATCTTTTGGTTGTCTAAACTTAATCCTTTGTTACGATAAAAGAAAATCTCATACTTAGTTAATATATCATATAGTTTCTTTTCACCAATACATACTAGAGCTCAAAGTCTAAATTTTGAATCAGATTTCTCATATCAATTTTAAAGACTTCTAAATTAAAGTCTTTGAATCATAATTTCCTAGTCAAGAAATATTATTGTGTTTGGAGTATTATTATTTTACTTCTCGGTCAAATCTAAGTATATTTCAAGTTTCTTATAAAATGTTCTTTGAAAATGATCTTTGATTCTAAACAAACATTTTACCTACTCAAATACCTTCAACCCGTTGAATATGGCCTACGATTGAAATGTCAAAATAAATAAAAAACTAAAAAAGAAAAACTTGAGGGGAGAGATATTTTGAAACAATGAAACGTGAATCACTTAGTTTTTTAATTCTTTGTGTGGTTGTAAATAGCATACATCTCATCAATATTTACAGTTAAGAAAGAACAACTAGTTTCCTAAACTCTCCCCTAAGTTAAAACCACTCTCAATTGACTAACTATTTTCTAAACTTATTCAACTTAATAACTATTTTTACAAAGTCAAGATTAATCACTCACATTCTCCCCCGTAAGCTTGACTTTACTTGAGATTTTTTACTTTGAATAACTCCGGCATGTTTGCAAACTTAATCTTTGCTAGGGTCTTGGTGAGAATATTTGCATGTTGTTCTATAGTTTCAACGTTGCTTGGTCCCTGATCAACTCCTTATTCTTCATAAGAAATTTTAATTCTACAACATACAATTTCTTCCGTTCTCTCTTATGTGTAGGGACTTCTTCGTTTTGTAGGATACTCCTTTGTCTTTCAACCTTATTTTTATACATGTCTCTAGCCTTCTTTGGTTGAGAGGACAAGTTTGATGTCCCATTTTTCTTACGCCTTGGTGGCCTTTCTCTAGGCCTACATGGCTAGGTTGTTCTTTACTGATTGTAGTAGCCTCTGGTTTCTTCTTGGCTATGTTTTTCGATTCCTTTTTCTCCTGACCCATTGGTTTCTTCTTCACTTTCTTTTTGTCAACGCCAATGGATACTTTTGGAAGATGTTGATGGTCTTTCAATAGTATCTTATACAGGCAGTTTTGCAACCGTTGTACCTTCATCAACACCGTTTTTGTTGTATATCTCGAGGAACGAGTCGACTATCTTCACTCTAATAATATTTTTGAGGAACGTTTCTGTTGTCAATGACCAAGGCTAATAATATTGCTCTTCAACTCGGGATGTAATACACCTTAGTTAATAGACATTGATGGTCGTTCTTACACTGGAACAAGATAGACCCTTTGTCTTGGACCGGTACAATTGATCCTTCGCAAAACTTCACGTTTCTAGTGAACTTCTGATCAAGCTCCTTGAACTTTGCTCAATCTCCGGTCATGTGGTTGCTCGCTCCATTGTCTAGGTACCACATGCTGGTCTCCACTTAGTCTTCTCCATCTATGAAGGGGTTCGCATAACCTTCTTTATTGAGCACCAACAGGTTGAGTATATTCTCGGTCAACATCAATGTGGGCTCTTCATCATCCGTGATCATGAGGTTTGCCTCCTCATCGCGCTCATTGTTGTGGCATTCTACCGCATAATGTTCGTATTTTCCACAAGAGTAACACTTGATCATACTCTTGTCCTTCCGGGACTTGACATTGTCATGAATTTGTGAGGTATTGTCACGACCAACTCTACCACCATGTCCACTGTCATGTCTGCAACCACGTCCACGACCTATGTTTTTCTTGTTATGGCTCCCACGTCCCCTCGTACGTGAAAAAGAAGAATCATTGTATCTTTCTTTCTCGTCTGTGCGAGCCACTCCTCATGTGTGAGTAAGAGGTATTTCTCCTCCTCTTGTCTTTGTAGCCACGAAGTCTTTCCGCATGGACCTTAAGATGGCCAATGACCTTCTCAACTGATATGTTCTTGAGGTCACCGAATTGCTCGATGGAGGCAAAAATCTGCATGAATCTTGGGGGAACTGCTTGAAGGAACTTTTTGATGACGGAGATCTCCTCCACCACGTTGCGTAATGAACGGATGCCGCTGACGATCGTCGTCAACTTCATGAAAAATCCGTCTATTGACTAACTGTCCTTCATGCAGGTAGCCTCGAACTCACTCTTCAAGGTTTGCACCTTTGCTTCCTTGACACGTTTCACACCCACATGCATTGTTTGCAGTGCCTCCCACGCTGTCTTTGCCGAGTCCTTCTCTGCCAACATGAGAAGTACGTCCTCCAAGACTACTTGATAGATGGTGGCAAGAGTCATCTTGTCGTTACGCTCCTTAACGTCAACATTCTCGACGATATCCCATAAGCCTTGTGCCTGTAAGTCAACACCCAATTTTATCGACCATGTTATGTAGTTACTCTTCGTGTGTCATAGGTTTTGGAGTGTTACACTCCCCTCCCTTCCGCTCCTTATTGTTTTCACTTCTCCTCCGATGACTTTGTAAGGTGACAAAATTTTTTCGGCATCTTGACTCTGATACCAAATGTTGGATATGAGCATCGATCGAAATAGGTTGAAACAAATAAAAAATAAAAAAGAACAACTTAAGGGGAGAGATCTTTTGAAACAAAGAAACGTTAAACACTTAGCTTTTCAATCTCTTAGTTATGGTTGTAAAGAGCATACATGTCATGAGTATTATTTATAGGGAGAAATCACAACT